CCAAAATCTTAGCAAAAATCTTGTAATCCGAGCACATTAACGTAATAGCACGGTAATCATTCAAAACGGCATTCCTTCTTTTTGGGCACTAAAACCGTGACACCCGTTCTTTGCGATTTTCCCATCCTCCCACTACTTAACATACAATTCAAAACCCCCACCAGACAATGCCGTACACTCCCCCAATGACACCTATAAAAATCGTTTGGTATGCCGTCTATGCCTGGGGTTTTACCCTGGCACAGCCCAAAAACTGCCTCCTCCACCTCCGCTACACTAATACTACCCTCGAGTCTGTCACTGTCCTGCTCGCTTAATACCCTATTAAACCCTTCATCCCCAAAACGTCCCTCACCGACTTCCCTGCCAACCCTCCTCCATTTCTCCCTAAACCAAAAATCGGCATACAAACTAATATTTTCCGTAGTGGATAGGTCTTGGCCCTCCTCAAATCCACCCCCCCCCATCCCTGTACCTGCCACTATATACGCCATGGTGGTTTTAGCCTGCCATTCCTTAAACTTCCTTAGTACAAATCCCGATGGCCTATCCCCCCTTAAAACATCCTCCTACCCCGCCCTAACTCTAATTGCCTCAAACTTTTCATTATGAATTTCCGCCAGCCTATTTCGCAAACGTTCCATGTCCTCACTCTGCCCCACCCGTTCCTCTGCATAACAGTCATTTAACTGACCTTCAAGATAATTTTGTAAACCATAGCTCCACCACGCCATCTCTTTACCCCGTACTTTAAAGAAATCCGCGATTCCAACTTTAGCCCTCATTTCCCACCAATCCAGCAAATCCATCTCCATATTCCTAGACTCCCAAAAGGATTTCCACCAATCTTCAAATCCTGTAGCGTCACCCTCGTCCCTAAGTAGCCTCACATTCAATTTCCAGTATCTCGCATAAACTCTCACTATACCATCTACCCTCAAATCTGCTATAACAGCACGATGATCAGAAAAACCCACATCTATAGTCCTCACCCTCTCCACACCTATTCCCTGCCTAACATAAATCCCATCTAACCGTGCCTCATATCCCCTACGAATAAAAGTGTGCTCCACTCCATATCCCCTACTCCCCACCACATCTACCACTCCAACATCTCGCAAAACATCTCTCAGAACCCCCAAAACACAACCCACCCCCCTCGGAACCACATCACCATTCCTAATTACACAATTCCAATCCCCACCAATCACCGTAATAGCAGGTAAACCTCTCAAATGATATACCAAAACATTGCGTACAAAATCCACCTTCACTCTAGCATTACTAGTTGCTGGAATGTACACACCTACAAAACAAACCCTCCTGGCCCCCCAAAACCCATCCACCCTGACAACCCTCCCAACCCAGGATACCGCCACAGCCACACCTCCTTTCAACCTCAAAGCATCACTGGTAAACAACCTATAACCTTTCAAAAACAACTCACATCCTAACCAATGGTTATGTTCCTGCAAAAAACAGACATCAATACTAAATCTCCTTAAAACCCACTCTAACCATACCCTCTTGACCTCGGTTTTAAGACCGTTTACATTGAAAGTTACACACCTGAAAATTACAAGAATGGCAGCTTACCCCTATGCCGCTGAGGCTTACTTGGTTCTCCTTTCATAGGTCTCGGTCCATCTCTATCAATCCCTCGTTCCTGCCCTCCAACCCCTCCCTGTCCCTTTCCTGTCCCTGTCCCGTTTCTGTTCGTCCATCACCTTGACATCACCTAACCTCACGTCACCTTCCACACCATGCTCCGACTCTTCCAAAAAATCCTTCAGCACAGCCTCCAAAATCCCTTCTTGAGCTGAATCTGTAGTACCTAACGGTCTGTCTGACAGCGATATTCCCTCCCCCCCGTTTCCTCTGGTAGTGTAACACACGTCTCCAAAACCACATCTGCTCTTTCAACCTCCTCACTCCATAGGCCCTTACCCCGGCCTTCCACTTCACCCGTCATAACGTCCAAGGCTTCTAACCGCGTGTCTTCAGACGCTTTCTCTTGACCCCTAGGGCCCTGTCTCCTGGGGCATTGTGCCGCCATGTGCTCATAACAGTCACATAAACGGCACGTCTTCCTCTACCCTGCATAGTGTACAAAAACCTGAGTTCTATAGCTATACAATGTGACATATGATGGTATCGGCCTCCTCAGGGTCATTTTCAGTGTGAAGGATCCTTCCAGCAGCCCCTCGTAGGGGCCGTCCCTCCTCATTCCCATGCTCGCCGAGTGTACAGTCCCATAACCACTGAACACATCTTGTAGGCTGTATGCTGTCGCTTCAAAAGGTACATTCCGTACCTTCACCCAAGTAAAATACTTAGACACATCATGCAAGCATACTTCCACTGCCGAATTTTTACTCATCCTCCTTTCTTGAAATTTGACGACGATGTTGGAGTAGAAGTCAGCCCTCATGAACTTCATGAAGACCCTTGATATACCATTCAGTGCCACACCATACAACTCTTCATTGGGGATGCCATAAACGTCCCTGATAATGCTTGGCAGGAGAACGTTCATCGTGGCACTGCTTAAAGATCCTCTAATCAGCTCAATGCAGACAGTATTTATGCGCCGGTTCATCGGTCCGCCATCTTGGTGCTAATGCTATGTTTTCCTCACTAGGTGGCGTGCAAGAGAAACTGTAGAAGCGTCCTCTCTCCCTGCAGGTCGAGAGACGAAATAATAAACTATTTCTTCTTTCTCGGGTCACCCTCCCTCGGTGGGAAATGGCCAATGTGTTAATAAAATAAAATATTGTTGCTGTTAATAACAGTATTACTATTTTCATTATAATTATTACCAATAGTATTATGTCCTGCTGGTGATATCAAGAAATTCTTGAACTTGTCTACCCTTTCGTAAAGCACTTGACCACTTTTTTCATACACTGGGGAGGAAAGTAGTTTGTTCACCTTCACACGGTAGGCAGTTCACTTAACCCACCACCTTATTGGTAAGGGGAAGGTGAACCTCTTCATCCATCAGTAATCCTACTTACTAGCTACCTGTTAATTAACACTAAACTGACCAGCAGATGACACTTGTTCACTTTACTGCCACTTTCTTTTACACATATAAGTGCTCTCGAAATTCAGTCAAAGGAAATATTTCTAGGATAACATTAAACTGTTATAAAAAATAAATTTTTGTTATTGCTAGCACTGAAAACAATAGGATTATAAAATAAGAGTTACAACCATCTTTCCTTTTGGTGCTGAAATAATTTTATTCCATAAGATTATTACAAATAAACTATCTAATTCTTACGCAACTGCTGAAGCAAAATAACCTGTTGAAGATTGAGACACTTATGCAGCATATGGAAATCTTTATTCAGGAAACGTTTCGCCACACAGTGGCTTCATCAGTCCAATACAAAGCAAAAAGGTGTAAGGAGAGGAGGAGTTTGAGGTAATCAGTCCCTCAGCCTGGAGTCGATGTGTTCAGTCCATCAGTCTTGTAGAAGGTGCAGCATAGGGCCGTAGACGTGGCTTATATACTGTAGACAGGTGAGGCGAAGCAGGAGGAGGTGGGGTCATAGTGGTACCACCCACTAGTCGAAGTAGATCTTCGTCCAAAGGTTGGACAAGTGTTGAAGAATTCTTTGTATCAAGATCCCATGATGTTGCAGTGTCTGACGGTTGTGATGAATGGTTAAAAAAAACCCGACAAGTTGAAGATCTTCAAAAATCTTCAAAATCTTCAACTTGTCGTTTTTTTAAACCATTCATCACATCTGTCGGACACTGCAACATTATGGGATCTTGCTACAAAGAATTCTTCAACACTTGTCCAACCTTTGAACGAAGACCTACTTAGACTAGTGGATGGTTCCACTATGACTCTGCCTCCTCCTGCTTCGCCTCACCTGACTACAGTACATAAGCCAGTCTACGGTCCTATGCTGTAGATACACATATATCACGACAGCATTGCTTCACAGCAGATGTAGACTACACTTCATGATGCACTTCTCGAACTGGGTAAAGATAAAACCAGAGAGTGGGACAGTCAATGACTCGTCCAAGCTAGCACTTGTAGCTGTCGTCAGTGGCAGACTGCAAGTCAAGTTTAATGCGATTCTGTCGCTCAAAGAGGCCTTCGTTGTCGTCTGTACTGACGACACCGAGGCTGAAAAACTCATTACCACCACTGCTACAACCACTCTACGAGATCAGGGATTTATTGTCTTGACTTCCCCAGCTCTGGGGGCCAGGAGAACTGTGTTCCTCAAGAGACTCGACAGGCTCATCACTGCCCAGGCTACCGAAGAAATCAAGTCGTCCACTGAAGCACAGAATCCTTGGGCCAAGGTGAAATTCATTACCAAAATATCCAATGCCTCCTCCATGCTGAAGGTCACCTTCAGTGACGTCAACATGGCAGCCAGAGCTCTCGCTGAGGAACTGGCTATTCACTACTTCCACATCAATCCAGCCTTCATCGAAGCAGAAAAATTCCATCAAATTCCACTGTGTTGCGAAAGATTTCCATATGTTGCATAAGTGTCTTAATCTTCAACTTGTTTTTTTTTAAAACCATTCATCACAAAATGGCCTGATAAAAAATGGAAAATGAGTTGTAATATATAAACTCTCCTTGGTGAACCACTGTAAATCTCCAACACTTCATCAACACTGGTTTCAGAAGTGGTATCTCCCAAGTCTTACATGACCTACCATCTCAAATTTTCCACCCCAGCTTTGGCTGATTTCCCAATCTTTGTCAGTCCTTCTCTTCCTGTAGCCAGCAATAGCACAAACACTGCAAGGGCTCACTGTCTAGAGACAGCTCTAGCACCATGTAGTCTGACACTCCTTGCTCAGCACATCGTAAAAACTATTTAATGAGGAACTGATATTATATTGCAAAATTACACCACATAATAATAATAATATTATTATTATTATTATTATTATTAGTAGTAGTAGTAGTAGTAATAGTAGTAGTAGTAGTAGTAATAGTAGTAGTAGTAGTAGTAGCAGCAGCAGCAGAAGTAGCAGTAATAGTAGTAGTAGTAGTAGTAGCAGAAGTAACAGTAGTAGTAGTAGTAGTAGCAGAAGTAACAGTAGTAGTAGTAGTAGTAGCAAAAGTAGCAATAGTAGTAGTAGTACTGAGTCATGAAAAGGCGTTGAATAATTTGTCCTATGCTTATCAAAAACAAGAAAAGCAAAAGATGTGTTTGGCATAGACTGTAGAATATTACGTGTTATTTATATGGCTCCGTTAGCAAGAAAATGCTGAAAAACTCTTAAAAGATAGTTACCAGGTCCCCTTTCTTCATCTCTGTCAATTCATGCCTCAGAGAGTGTGATCAAAGCCTTTTTCTTTTAGCCATTCTAAAATTATTTTGTAGTTTTTATCCATCCAAAGAACGTTAAGCTTGGCAGTTTCCAGTGACTGATCCAGAGCTCTTGTAGCTGATCCCAGTTGTCCAGCATTGTCAACTTTGAACTTCTCCAGCTGAGATAAATGAATAAATAAGAAAAAATTAATTTTCAAGAAATATAAAATATTTCATTTATCTATCCCTTCATATAATACATCAGTACAAATTAAACGAGGCATTTAAACTCTCTTTACTTGGTTTAATGAACATATGTCAATATTTTTTCTCCTTTTGTCATTCATGGAATCAAGAATCTGTCATTTTGTGATACTTTTATTTTAGAAACATTTACACCTTCATAACAATCATGTCGTACTTCTCAGGGAAGCAATTATCACATTCTACAACTTAACACATCCATTTCCACTTCACTTCATTTACAATAACATGACAGTTTTGTGCTTGTATGCATTACTAAAAGATTTTGAATGATTTAAATATTGAAATTATAGCTTAATATTATAATTATCCAAAATTACATTGGCTTTTAATTAGTATATAAATCATTATATTATGATGCCTTTCAGAAAACTATGCCCAGAGTATCCTGCAATTATTAATTTGTTTATGTTCATATCTACACTGGTTACACTGCATTATACAGTAGTGTTGCTGACCTGCTGCAACTGGAGGCGAGTGTTGAAACCCAGGCTTACTGATTTTATTATCTTGGAGAGGTGAGAGGATCCTGGTCCCAAGCTGAAATATAATGATTAATTAGGTTAGGTAAGATTCATCAAGAAACAGGACAATGGTTCCTGACGCTGGTCTAAATCATATGACGACCCTCCACTGGAGTTTTTGTCCATTTGACCGAGGCCTTCGGCAGGCTTACCCGTCCACCTATTTAAAAATTAAGGTTTTAACATATTAATAATTAATATAATTTTGTTTACTTGTTGCACACAGGAAAACAAATAATAATACTGCAGATAAAACTGCACGAGAGAGCCACGAGAGAGAAGTATCCTTCTTTCCCAATAACTCTGGTAGCAGCTTGTACCGCTGCGCATGCAGACCTCAAGATGGCGTTGCAGTTGAGCTTTCTCAAGAGACCAAGGAACTATAACTCTTAACACGCAGTTTCACTCACACATTGAGCTTTATCTATAACAGAGGCTTATTGTGCACTAAGTGTCTCTCACATACTTAGTGGCAACATCTCCTATACAACGCTTCAACTTTATCTCACAACATTCAAGAATAACAGTCACAATACTGTGACTGGGAAAAAAATCACAAACAATCTACTCTTATGTAAAGTAAAAGGACACAAGTGCAACTAATGTGACATTTTATTGTGGCAACGTTTCGCTCTCCAGGAGCTTTGAAGAGCGAAACGTTGCCACAATAAAATGTCACATTAGCTGCACCTGTATCCTTTTACTTTACATATTGTCGGTAATTCTACCAACATTATTACAATCTACTCTTAGGAGAGGACACTTATGACGACGTTTCGATCTGTCCTGAACTACTGTCAGAGTCACAACTTGTGATCTGGCAATGATCCAAGACGGAAGGAAACTCATCACAAATTTCCTCTCCAGAGCGAGAATTATTTGTGAATATTCAACAGCCTGTAAGAAAACTTGTCTTAATGTTTCCACCATCCCGGGAATAATCGACCTCTGGACCCCAGTGAGTGAGCCGAGTGCGCTAGCAATCCAGCAAGAGATACCTTGATAAATTAGACACATGTGCAACTCTTGGGTATCTTTATTGAGGAAACGTTTCGCCACACAGTGGCTTCATCAGTCCATACGTAGGAGAAACTTGAAGAACAGGAGGAGAATGAGGTAATCAGTCCCTCAACCTTGAGTCGATGTGGTCAGTCCATCAATCAAGATTGATGGACTGACCACATCGACTCAAGGTTGAGGGACTGATTACCTCATTCTCCCCCTGTTCTTCAAGATTCTCCTTTGTATGGACTGATGAAGCCACTGTGTGGCGAAACGTTTCCTCAATAAAAATACCCAAGAGTTGCACATGTGTCTAATTTATCAACATGTCGGTTCTCTGAACCATTCATCTACAAAGAGATACCTTACCTTGAGTTTACCTGGATACGGTTTCGGGAGTTAACGGCCCTGCGGCCCGGTCTGAGACCAGGGCTCATGGTGGATCAAGGTATGATCAACTAGGTTGTTACTGCTGGCCGCACACATGCTGACGTACGAACCACAGCCCGGTTGGTCAGGTACTGACTTTAGGTGCCTCTCCAGTGCCTTCTTGAAGACAGCCAGGGGTCTATTGGTAATCCCCCTTAAGTAAGCTGGGAGGCAGTTGAACAGTCTTGGGCCCTGGACACTGTGTTGTCTCTGAAAGTACTCGTGGCGCCCCTGCTTTTCATCGGGGGAATGTTGCATTCTTGCCGAGTCTTTTGCTTCCATAGGGAGTGGTTTACGTGTGCAGGTTTGGTGACAATCCCTCCAGGACCTTCCAAGTGTATATTATCATGTATCTCTCGCCTGCGTTCGACGGAATACAGATCAAGGATCCTCAACCGTTCCCAGTAATTTATGCGTCTTACCATACTTATGTGTGCCGTGAAAGTTAGTGTACAGCAGTATTCCAGCCTAGAGAGCATAAGTGATTTGAAGAGAATCATCATGGGGCTGACGTTCCTAGTTTTGAAGGTTCTCATTATCCATCCTATCATTTTCCTAGCGCATGAGGTAACATTGTTGTGGTCTTTGAAGGCGAGATCCTCTGACCTTATCACTCCAAAGTCCTTCACATTACTTTTCCGCTCTATTGTATAGTTAGAATTTGTTGTATACCCTGATACATTTTTAATTTCTTCAAGTTTCCCATATGTGAGTAGTTGAAATTTCTCCTCGTTGAACTCGATATCGTTTTGAGTGGCCCATTCGAAGATTTGGTTGATATCCGCTTGGAGTCTCGCGGTTTCTTCGATGGAGGTCACTGCCATAGTAATCCGGATATCATCCGCAAAGGAAGACACGGAAGTATGGCTTACATCTCTGTCTATGTCAGAAATGAGGATGAGGAATAGAATGGGAGCGAGTACTGTGCCTTGTGCAACAGAGCTTTTTACCGTGGCTGCCTCGGACTTTACTCTGTTTACTACTACTCTTTGTGTTCTATTTGCCAGGAAGTTGTAAATCCATCTACCAACTTTTCCCATTATTCCTTTATCATGCATTTTGTATGCCATTTCACCATGGTCACACATGTCGAAAGCTTTTGCAAAGTCTTTGTATACTACATCTGTATTTTGTTTATCCTTTACAGCATCCAGTACCTTGTCATAGTGGTCCAGTAGCTGGGACAGGCAGGAGAGACCTGCTCTATACCCGTGTTGCCTTGGATTGTGTAACTGATGGGTATCTAGGTGGATGGCGATCTTCCCTCTTAGAACCCTCTCAAAGATTTTTATGATATGGGGTGTTAGTGCTATCAGTCTGTAGTTCTTCGCAATTGCTTTGCTGCCACCTTTGTGGAATGGGGCTACGTCTGTTGTTTTTAGTGTGTGTGGGATGATCCTTGTGTCCATGCTCCCTCTCCATACAATGCTGAAGGCATGCAATAGGGACTTCTTGCAATTCTGGGCCAGGGGCAAAGTGCATTGGCATGTCATTTATTGCCTCTTCAAATTCTTGTGGAGTTAAAATAATATCCAATATTTTTGAGATGACCAAATTTTGGGTTTCATTTAAAGAATTCATTTGGATTGTCGACCCTTAGTCTGGGCAGTGGCTCGCTGAACGCTGAGTCATATTGGGACCTTAGTATCTCACTCATTTCTTGGCTATCATCTGCGTATGTCCCATCCCGCTTAAGCAGGGGCCCAATACTGTATGTTGTTTTTCCCTTAGATTTGGCATAAGAGAGAAGTATTCTGTTTCTTTTTTCCAATTTCCTTTATGGCTTTTAGTCCTTCCTGTGATTCTTGTATCCTGTAAGATTCTTTCAGCTTAAGTTCGATATTTGCAATTTCATTGACTAGTGTCTCTCCTCGTATTTCAGATATATTGGCCCCACTCAGCAGATCTGTGACTCTTCGCCTTCGTCTTTATAGGGAACGTCTCTCTCTTTCTAGTTTACATCTTCTCTTTCTTTTTCTTAATGGAATGTGTCTTGAGCAGATCTCAAGAACCACAGAATTCCTTTTTTGAAGGCAAATGTTCGGATCAGTGTTGTTTAGGATATCTTCCCAGCTTGTTTCATTTAGGACATGCTTTACTTGATCCCATTGTATGCTTTTGCTATTGAAATTGAATTTCGTGAAGACACCCTCATGATTGCTCACATTTTGCTGGTCAGGAGCCCTGTGCATACAACTCTGTACCTCTATTATGTTGTGATCTGAGTGTATTGTGTTTGATACAGTTATATTACGTATCAGATCGCCATTGTTAGTGAAGATGAGGTCCAGTGTATTTTCTAGTCTTGTAGGCTCTACTATTTACTGGTTTAAGGTGAATTTGTTGCAGAGATTTAATAGTTCGTGTGTGTGTGAATTTTAACATGACTCACAAAATGTAATGACACGACTGCAAACAAACCATACCACGGGCGGGGATAGAACTCGCGGGTTCTATCCCCGCCCGTTGTATGGGTTTTGTGAATTTTCATCTGAGCTGCCTCCCAGGGTGATCTCTGCTAAAACATTGTTTGCTATACTCCTCCATTTTAGGTGTCTCAAATAGAAATCTCTTAGTAGTAAGATGTTTGAGGCAGAAGTTGGAAGATTTTCCAGACACTGGTCAATTTTCTCAAGCTCCACAATGACAAGATGACCTTAGATGCAGTTTTGAGCTGACTACTGCATTTTCTTACTATTCTGTGACTTGCTTTCTGTTAACCTCTGATGTGACTACTTCCTTTTATGCCGGAAGGGTGTAGGGGGAAGGTGGGAGGTAAGTGTTTAGGTATGTGATGGTCCTCACTGTCTGTCGTAGGTAGCCACTGATACAGTCTGCCTTGACTCAGAGAATTTCTCTTCCTATCTTTTGCTGTCTTGCAATATTGTATACCTCTGGAAATTTTAGCTCTAGAGCTAAAAATTTCAATGCACAACACACACACACACATATATATATATATATATATATATATATATATATATATATATATATATATATATATAATATATATATATATATATATATATATATATATATATATATATATATATATATATATATATATATATATATATATATATATATATATAGAAGGTTGGTAGACAGCAACCGCCCAGGGAGGTACTACCGTCCTGCCAAGTGAGTGTAAAACGAAAGCCTGTAATTGTTTTACGTGATGGTAGGGTTGCTGTTGTCTTTTGTCTGTCTCATAAATATGCAAAATTACAGGTACGTCTTGCTACTTCTACTTACACTTAGGTCACACTACACATACATGCACATGTTTATTTATACACACTCATCTGAGTTTTCTTTGATTTTATCTTAATAGTTCTTGGTATTATTACTTTTCCTTTTATATCCATGGGGAAGTGGAATAAGAATCTTTCCTCTGTAAGCCATGCGTGTTGTAAAAGTCAACTAAAATGCCGTGAACAATGGGCTAGTAACCCCTTTTCCTGTAATAATTACTAAAAACAATAAAAAGAAAATTGTCAAAGTGGGAAGTCTGAATGTGCGTGGATGTTGTGCGAATGATAAGAAAGAGATGATTGTGGATGTTATGAATGAGAAGAAGCTGGATGTCCTGGCTTTAAGTGAAACAAAGCTGAAGGGGGGGGGGAGGAGTTTTAGTGGAGAGGAATAAATGGGATTAGGTCAGGGGTTTCAAATAGAGTTAGAGCTAAAGAAGGAGTAACAATAATGTTGAAGGATAAGTTATGGCAGGAAAAGAAGAATTATAAATGTATTAAGTCAAGGATGATGTGGAGTAAAATAAAGGTTGCATGTGAAAAGTGGGTTATAGTAAGTGTACATGCACCTGGAGAAGAGAGAAGTGTAGAGGAGAGAGAGAAATTTGGGGAAATGTTGAGTGAATGCATGGGGAGTTTTGAACCAAGTGTAAGGGTAATGGTGGTTGGGGATTTCAAAGCTAAAGTGGGAAGTGGGTAAAAATGTTGTGGAGGGAGTAGTAGGTAAATTTGGGGTGCCAGGGGTAAATGAAAATGGGGAGCCTTTAATTGAGCTATGTGTAGAAAGAGGTTTGGTAATAGGTAATATATATTTTATGAAGAGGATAAATAAATATACAAGGTATGATACAGCACGTAATGAAAGTAGTTTGTTAGATTACATATTGGTGGATAAAAGGTTGATGGATTGGCTCCAGGATGTACACGTTTATAGAGGGGCAACTGATATATCGGATCATTATTTAGTTGTAGCTACAGTTAGAGTAAGAGGTAGATGGGAAAAGAGGAAAATGGCAACAACAAGCAAGAGGGAGGTGAAAGTGTGTAAACTAAGGGAGGAGGAAGTTCGGGTGAGATATAAGCAACTATTGGCAGAAAGGTGGGCTGGTGCAAGTATGAGTAGTGGGGGAGGGGGGGTTGAAGAGGGTTGGAATAGTTTTAAAAATGCAGTATTAGAATGTGGGGCAGAAGTTTGTGGTTACAGGACGGTGGGTGCAGGAGAAAAGAGGAGTAATTGGTGGAATGATAAAGTAAAGGGTGTGATAATAGAGAAAAAGTTAGCTTATGAGAAGTTTTTGCAAAGCAGAAGTGCTATAAGAAGAGTAGAGTATATGGAGAGTAAAAGAAAGGTGAAGAGAGTGGTGAGAGAGTGCAAAAGGAGAGCAGATGATAGAGTGGGAGAGGCACTGTCAAGAAATTTTAATGAAAATAAGAAAAAAATTAGGAGTGAGTTAAACAAGTTAAAACGAATGGGTTTGTCAGTTAAAAACAGATTAGGGGAGTTAGTAGATGGGGAGATGGAGGTTTTTGGTAGATGGCGAGAATATTTTGAGGAACTTTTAAATGTCGACGGAGAAAGGAAAATGGTAATTTCATGCACTGGCCAGGAAGGTTTACCATCTCTTAGAAGTGAAGAAGGACAGGATGTATATGTGGGGGAGGTGCGTGAGGCATTACATAGAATGAAAGGCGGTAAAGCAGCTGGAACTCACGGGATCATGACATAAATGTTAAAAGCGGTGGGGGGGGGGGATATAGTGTTGGAGTGGTTGGTATTTTTGTTTAATAAATGTATGAAAGAGGAGAAGGTACCTAGGGATTGGCAGAGAGCATGTATAGTCCCTTTATATAAAGGGAAGGGGGACAAAAGAGATTGTAAAAATTATAGAGGAATAAGTTTACTGAGTATACCAGGAAAAGTGTACGGTAGGGTTATAACTGAAAGAATTAGAGGTAAGACAGAATGTAGGATTGCGGATGAGCAAGGAGGTTTCAGAGTGGGTAGGGGATGTGTAGATCAAGTGTTTACATTGAAGCATATATGTGAACAGTATTTAGATAAAGGTAGGGAAGTTTTTATTGCATTTATGAATTTAGAAAAGGCTTATGATAGAGTGGATAGGAGAGCAATGTGGCAGATGTTGCAAGTACATGGAATAGGTGGTAAGTTATTAAATGCTGTAAAGAGTTTTTATGAGGATAGTGAGGCTCAGGTTAGGGTGTGCAGAAGAGAGGGAGACCACTTCCCAGTAAAAGTAGGTCTTAGACAGGGATGTGTAATGTCACCATGGTTGTTTAATATGTTTATAGATGGGGTTGTAAAAGAAGTAAATGCTAGGGTGTTCAGGAGAAGGATGGGATTGAATTATGGAGAATTAAATACAAAATGGGAATTGACACAGTTGCTTTTTGCTGATGATACTGTGCTCATGGGAGATTCTAAAGAAAAATTGCAAAGGTTAGTGGATGAGTTTGGGAGTGTGTGTAAAGGTAGAAAGTTGAAAGTGAACATAGAAAAGAGTAAGGTGATGAGGGTATCAAATGATTTAGATAAAGAAAAATTGGATATCAAATTGGGGAGGAGGAGTATGGAAGAAGTGAATGTTTTCAGATACTTGGGAGTTGACGTGTCGGCGGATGGATTTATGAAGGATGAGGTTAATCATAGAATTGATGAGAGAAAAAAGGTGAGTGGTGCATTGAGGTATATGTGGAGGCAAAGAAGGGAATGTATGAAAGTATAGTAGTACCAACACTCTTATATGGGTGTGAAGCTTGGGTTGTGAATGCAGCAGCGAGGAGGCGGTTGGAGGCAGTGGAGATGTCCTGTCTAAGGGCAATGTGTGGTGTAAATATTATGCAGAAAATTCGGAGTGTGGAAATTAGGAGATGTGGAGTTAATAAAAGTATTATTCAGAGGGCTGAAGAGGGGTTGTTGAGGTGGTTTGGTCATTTAGAGAGAATGGATCAAAGTAGAATGACATGGAGAGCGTATAGATCTGTAGGGGAAGGAAGGCAGGGCAGAGGTCGTCCTCGAAAAGGTTGGAAGGAAAGGGTAAGGGAGATTTTGTGGGCGAGGGGCTTGGACTTCCAGCAGGCGTGCATGAGCGTGTTCGATAGGAGTGAATGGAGACCAATGGTATTTGAGACCTGACGATCTGTTGGAGTGTGAGCAGGGTAATATTTAGTGAAGGCATTCAGGGAAACCGGTTATTTTTATATAGCCGGACTTAAGTCCTGGAAATGGGAAGTACAATGCCTGCACTCTAAAGGAGGGGCTCGGGATATTAGCAGTTTGGTGGGATATGTTGTCTATCTTTATACGTGTATGCTTCTAAACTGTTGTGTTCTGAGCACCTCTGCAAAAAACAGTGATCATGTGTGAGCGAGGTGAAAGTGTTGAATGATGAAAGTATTTTCTTTTTGGGGATTTTCTTTCTTTTCGGGTCACCCTGCCTCGGTGGGAGACGGCCGACTTGTTAGGTAAGACACATATGCAACAGTTAGGTATCTTTGTAAAGATACCTAACTGTTGCATATGTGTCTTACCTAACAACCTGTCGGTATTTTATACCATTTTAATGTTCAGACGGCCGACTTGTTAATATATATATATATATATATATATATATAATATATATATATATATATATATATATATATATATATATATATATATATTATACACATACATATCTTCTATTAGTTTTTATCAAAGAATAAACAGAACATAGATCAATAATACCAAATAAATGTGTAGTTAATAAGCCATGAAACTAGTTTGAAATATGTTTAAATATTTTACTTGTTAGGTTTCAGACTCACTACTGCAGAATGTTGGACCACTGATCCTGGAGGTAGTTCCAGGCCAGGTCACGACCCACAGTGTTGCTCGCTACAGCGGTGAACACAAGTGATGAATCTTGTTTCCTCACTCCACTCTTGCTGGTGAAAGCCATCTGAAGATATCTGCAGGATATTTTTAACATTATCATAAGCATCTATATTATCATCATAGCTATCGTTTTTATTATCCTCGTCATATAAATTAATATTGTTTCAGTTATATTTTAATTATCAAGATATTAACGTCATCATATAACTATTATTACAAAAAGTGGTTTTTATAAGGATTCAGAGCGTGTGATACCTGGAGAGGGTTCGTGTGATACCTGGAGAGGGTTCGTGTGATACCTGGAGAGGGTTCGTGTGATACCTGGAGAGGGTTCGTGTGATACCTGGAGAGGGTTCGTGTGATACCTGGAGAGGTTCGTGTGATACCTGGAGAGGGTTCGTGTGATACCTGGAGAGGGTTCGTGTGATACCTGGAGAGGGTTCGTGTGATACCTGGAGAGGGTTCGTGTGATACCTGGAGAGGGTTCGTGTGATACCTGGAGAGGGTTCGTGTGATACCTGGAGAGGGTTCGTGTGATACCTGGAGAGGGTTCGTGTGATACCTGGAGAGGGTTCGTGTGATACCTGGAGAGGGTTCGTGTGATACCTGGAGAGGGTTCGTGTGATACCTGGAGAGGGTTTCGGGGTTTCTAGAAGGTTTTGAAAGATTTGAAATATAAATAACAAATGATTTCATCTGGATGTGATAGATAATATTTTTAAACTTATGAACAATCACTGAAGGATGAAGTGAAAGACAACTTAGTAGTTTACTGGTGTGAAATATTGTGAGAGATGGTAAGATAATGTCTGCCAGGAGATGTAAGTGAAGCAACATGGGTAAGACAAGGTGAAACATCGTCAGAAATGTCAAGATTAAGTAAGACAAGAGTTGCATATTAGACACATAGAGGTAAAATAATGAGACAAATGGAAACATTTAGTCTGGCAAGAGGTGGAAGTGAAGTACACAGGAGAACATATATTTAATGCAAGAAATCTACTTATATACAACAACACGAACCAATTTAACTGTTTAATAGAATCTCACTTTATCAAATAATTTTTGCTTGATTAAACTTTAATAAATAACAAAAATAAGAAATAAATTAAGTGTATCGATATATTAATGTTTCTTAAAAAAATGTGAAAGAGTTTTTGAAGTATTAAAACTTCTTCCAGAATAAACAAAACCAGCGATTTAGGTTTAAAAACCACTAAACATTTTTCTGAATAAACAAAGAGAAAAATTGTGTAACCAATAAATCTAAGAGAATCAACGTGAACATAGGAAAAAGTATATAACATTGATTTTTAATAAACATTAAATTAATTTAAACTGGCCTAAAGATGTTTTGTGAGAATGTTCATAATAAAACTTTTAGTACAGAAACATTCGATGAGGTTCAGCTACTTTTGGTGAAAAACTTTAAATTTTATACTATTTAAATAACAAGTATCAACAAACTTATGAGAAAATATTGAGAGTCCGACGTTTTTCCTACAATAAGGAAAATGTTTGAAAGATCTGATTCTATGTATTTGTAACCACGAACAAGTGGTATTTAATCAATAACAAACTGCGGCTAGCCGGGGGATCAAACCCGTGTTGTTTCAGCCCGCCTCGTGGAAAGAGAGCGAAAATTAACGACGCACTAATCTGCTGGACCATACAATCCTACAAAAACATGAACCTAGCGAACCAGGCTTGCTTCATGTTGCGAGGACATACGATCATGAGGTTGCCCGGCTAGCAGCAGTTTTTGATTAAATACCACTTGTTCGTAGTTACAATAATATATAAATGCTGCTGGTGAGGCTAGTACACCAAACAGTGATGATAATGAAATTAGCTTAGAAGCTCCCACACCTCCGGATGTCCTCGGATGGTGGCCCAACAGCTAGTAGCTGTGTGCTGGCTGCGCCATTCTTGTAGGGTTGGGTGGTCCTGCAGTTTAAAGCGTCATGTGGTTCTCGCTTACCATGAAGCAAGCCAGTACAACATGGGTTCGAATCCTTGGCAAGCGCAGTGTTGATATATATATATATATATATATAAATATATATATATATATATATATATATATATATTTATATATATATATATATATATATATATATATATATATATATATATATATATATATATATATATGTCGTGCCGAATATGTAAAACTGGTCAATTAGCAAGAACTCATTTAAAATTAAGTCCTTTCTGAAATTTTCTCTTATACGTTTACAGATATATTTTTTTCATTAATGTTAATGTAAACATTTTTAATTTTGCACCAAAAGGATCTTAGAAAACTTACCTAACCTTATTATAACAAGAACAATTTATTTTAGCCTAACCCAACTAAATACATTTTAAATACGTTTACAATAATTTACTACTATACAAACACAATCAAATATATTTTTTTCGTTAGGGTCAGAATGTTTTTGGCGAAATTATTGTATACACAAATTTTCACTTGTCCTATATGGCAAGATGAGCGTTGCTATTTAAGCCAAGATCGCAAGTTCTGCCTATTTGGCACGACATATATATAATATATATATATATATATATATAATATATATATATATATATATATATATATAATATATATATATATATATATATATATATATATATATATCGAGAGAGAGAGAGAGAGAGAGAGAGTGAGAGAGAGAGAGAGAGAGAGAGAGAGATATTATTGAAGAAGACACGAGAGGAATTATTCACGATGAACTCGTAAAGTATACCTTGCAAGGATCCACATCTCCTTGGAACAGCCCATAGCATATAGTAGTATTTTCTTTTCAGATGCAACATTTGAGCGAGTGTAACGAGCCCAGCCAGAGTTCCACTCATCCTCTCCTCCCTTGGAGATACCCGTACACAGTACTGTACTTTGCACGTTGGCCGACACAACGCTGTTAATAATAGTTCAGAACTATCTATTACTTTCTCCAAGCAAAGTATTTGTTGTCAATGTCATCTGGTCATTCTCTCGTTTTCTAAATAAAGATAATGTATTTGCTTATCAAAATATATCCATAATGTTAATCTTTTCTAATATTTTCAGCAAGCACAAGTATCGGAATATAGACTATGAAAATTATCAAATTCTATTTGCGAGTATAGTAAATTTAAAATGATTCGTATTGCGACCAACCTTTCATTGAGAGGTGAATTCATCCATTTTATAAATAACTGCGTAGCATTCGTGACACAAGGTTGGTGACCCAGCCTGCAGGCGAAGTGAAGGGCCAGCACTCTCTTGTTGAGTGTCAGGTGCGAGTCGTCTGCATGGTCAGCAAATCCAACAGAATCATATAATGGCGTTAACAATGTTCGAATATATTTCTGAAATATAAAATGGATTACATGCATATGTATATATATATATATATATATATATATATATATATATATATATATATATATATATATATATATATATATATATATATTCAACAAGTCGGCCGTCTCCCACCGAGGTAGGGTGACCCAAAAAAGAATAAAACAGTTTAGAAGCATATACGTATAAAGATACACAACATATCCCTCCAAACTGCCAATATCCCAAACCTCTCCTTTAGTGTGCAGGCATTGTACTTCCCATTTCCAGGACTCAAGTCCGGCTATATAAAAATAACCGGTTTCCCTGAATCCCTTCACTAAATATTACCCTGCTCACACTCCAACAGCTCGTCAGGTCCCAAATACCATTCGCATTCATCCACTCCTATCTCACACGCTCACGCACACTTGCTGGAAGTCCAAGCCCCTCGCCCACAAAACCTCCCTTACCCCTTCCTTCCAACCTTTTCGAGGACGACCCCTACCCCGCCTTCCTTCTCCTACAGATTTATATGCTCTCCATGTCATTCTACTTTGATCCATTCTCTCTAAATGACCAAACCACTTCAACAATCCCTCTTCAGCCCTCTGACTAATACTTTTATTAACTCCACACCTTCTCCTAATTTCCACACTCCGAATTTTCTGCATAATATTTACACCACACATTGCCCTTAGACAGGACATCTCCACTGCCTCCAACCGCCTCCTCACTGCGGCATTTACAACCCAAGCTTCACACCCATATAAGAGTGTTGGTAATACTATACTTTCATACATTCCCTTCTTTGCCTCCATTGATAACGTTCTTTGTCTCCACATATACCTCAACGCACCACTCGCCTTTTTTCCTTCATCAATTCACCTGCTGACACGTCAACTCCCAAATATCTGAAGACATTCACTTCTTCCATACTCCTCCTCCCCAATTTGATATCCAATTTTTCTTTATTTAAATCATTTGATACCCTCATCACCTTACTCTTTTCTATGTTCACTTTCAACTTTCTACCTTTACACACACATGTACCATTGAGGAAACCCAGAGGAAGATCAGATATAGAGATAGAGCGTAGGAAATGGTACAGAAGAAAACGGGTTACTGAACTGCTTAAAAACACAAATATGCTACAAGAGAGGAAAGATAGACTTAGCAGAGAGATCACTGAATTAGAGCAAAAACTTAGGATGTCATACCTCACAAGAAGTTCAAAGGGAGCAAAAGGCCATACAGGATATTGCAAGAAACAAAAATAATTCTATTCCTAATCAAAATCCAAGCTAAGAACTACCTGTATAATTGGACCACTACTGAAAGGAGACTCGTATACTGACGACGAACAGGAAATGAGTGAAATCCTATGAGTCGGTGTTCAGCATCCCACTAAATGACAGCAAGGTAGAAAATGCAGAAATATTTTTCACTCCAGAAGAAGGCCGCACAGACCAACTAACTGACATTAGTACAAATCCCATATATTTCGAAAAAGAAATGGAAAACATGCCCACTCACTCCGCACCTGGGCCAGATTCATGGAATGCTTTATTTATAAAGAAGTGCAAAGTACCACTATCACGAGCCCTCAGTATTCTTTGGAGAAAGAGCTTAGATCTAGGTGAAATACCGGAGGCCTTAAAGAGTGCAGGTATAGCTCCTTTGCACAAGGGAAGTAGTAGAGCACTAGCTAAAAATTACAGACCAGTAGCCATAACCTCTCACATCATAAAATTCTTCGAAAGAGTGATAAGACGGCAGGTTACAAATTTCATGGAGCAGCACAACCAGCATAACCCGAACCAGCATGGTTTTAGAGCAGGATGATCATGTCTGTCACAGCTGTCGAATCATTATGACAGAATTACGGAGGCATTCGAAGACGACAAAAACGCTGATGTAATTTACACAGATTTTGCAAAGGCGTTTGACAAATGCGATCGTGGAGTGATAGCGCACAAAATGAAGGCCATGGGCAATACGGGGAAGGTAGGCAGATGGATTTTCGGTTTCCTAACACAGAACACAAAAAGTAGTAGTGAACAGGGCAAGATCCAGCATCAGCGAGGTCAAAAGGTCAGTGCTCCAAGGCACTGTCCTGGCACCTCTGCTGTTTCTCATCCTCTTAGCAGACATAGACACACTAAATTAAGCATGAAAGTCAGTACGGTAGAGGACACTGAAAAAGTACAGGAAGACATAAACAGGGTTTTCCAGTGGGCAGTGGAAAATAACAAGACGTTCAATGGTGATAAGTTCCAGCTGCTTAGGTATGGAAAGAATGAAGAACTCAAAAGGAGCACTATATACAAAACTCAAGAGTCACCAAATAGAACGTAAGGAACACGTACAAGACCTGGGAATAATTATGTCAGCGGACCTTTCTTTTAAAGACCATAAAAAGACAAAGATCACGACAGCCAGGAAGATGACTGGGTGGGTATTGAGAACTTTCAAAACAAGGGAAACAATGCCGATGGTGACACTCTTCAAATCGCTAGTGCTCCCTCACTTAGAATATTTCTTAGTGCTGACGGCCCCGTTCAGGGCAGGAGAAATATCGGAGCTGGAACAAATACAGAGATCGTTTACGGCTCACATTGAGCCAGTAAAGCACCTAAACTACTGGAAACGCCTGCAAGTCTTGAACATGTACTCATTGGAGCGGAGGAGAGAGAGGTACATGATAATATATTCCTGGAAGGTACTCGAGGGCTTAGTCCCAAATCTGCACACTGCAATAACAACATACAGGAGTGAGAGATATGGGAGGAAGTGTAAAATAAACCCAGTGAGGAGCAGGGGTGCGGTGGGGAAAATAAGGGAATACTGTATCAACATCCGGGGTCCCAGACTTTCAACATCTTACCAGAAGATATCAGAAACACTGCTGGAACAAGTGTTGAAGCCTTCAAGAGGAAACTAGACAAATATCTTCACCAGGTGCCAGACCAACCAGGCTGTGATGGATATGTGAAGCAGTGGTCCTCCAGCAGCAACAGCCTGGTTGACCAGGCGAGCACCAGACGAGCCTGGCCCATGGCCGGGCTCAGAGAGTAGATATACTCTTGAAATTCTTCAAAGGTATATAAGGTATACACTCCCAAACTCGTCCACTAACCTTCGCAAATTTTCTTTAGAATCTCCCATAAGCACAGCATCATCAGCAAAAAGTAACTGTGCCAATTCCCATTTTGTATTTGATTCCCCATAATTCAATCCCACCCCTCTCCTGAACACCCTAGTATTTACTTCTTTTACAACCCCATCTGTAAATATATTAAACAACCATGGGGACATTACACATCCCTGTCTAAGACCTACTTTTACTGGGAAGTAGTCTCCCTCTCTTCTACACACCCTAGCCTGAGCCTCACTATCCTCATAAAAACTCTTTACAGCGTTTAGTAACTTACCACCTATTCAACATACTTGCAACATCTGCCACATTGCTCCCCTATCCACTCTATCATATGCCTTTCCTAAACCAATAAATGCAATAAAAACTTCCCTACCTTTATCTAAATACTGTTCACATATATGCTTCAATGTAAACACTTGATCTACACATCCCCTACCCACTCTAAAACCTGCTTGCTCATCCGCAATCCTACATTCTGTCTTACCTCTAATTCTTTCAATTATAACCCTACCGTACACTTTTCCTGGTATACTCAGTAAACTTATTCTTCTATAACTTTTACAGTCTCTTTAGTCCCCCTTCCCTTTATATAAAGGGACTATACATGCTCTCTGCCAATCCCTAGGTACCTTTCCCTCTTTCATACATTAAACAAAAATGCCAACCACTCCAACACTATATCCCCCCTGCTTTTAATATTTCTGTCATGATCTCGTGAGTTCCAGTTGCTTTACCCCCTTTCATTCTATGTAATGCCTCACTCACCTCTCCCACACTCACATCCTGCTCTTCTTCACTCCTAAAAGATGATATACCTCCCAGGCCACTGCATGAAATTACTGCCTCCCTTTCTTCGTCGACATTTAAAAGTTCCTCAAAATATTTTCGCCATCTACCCAATACCTCCATCTCCCCATCTACTGACTCCCCTACTCTGTTTTTAATTGACATATCCATTCATTCTCTAGGCTTTCTTAACTTGTTTAACTCACTCAAATTTTTTTCTTTCCATTAAAATTTCTTGACAGTGCCTCTCCCACTTTATCATCTGCTCTCCTTTTGCACTCTCTCACCACTCTCTTCACCTTTCTTTTACTCTCCATATACTCTACTCATCTTATAACACTTATGTTTTGTAAAAACCTCTCATAAGCTACCTTTTTTCTCTTTTATCACACCCTTTACTTCATCATTCCACCAATTACACCTCTTTCCTCCTGCCCCCACCCTCCTATAACCACAAACTTCTGCCCCACATTCTAATACTGCATTTTTAAAACTATTCCAACCCTCTTCAACCCCCCCTCCCCCACTACTCATACTTGCACCAGCCCACCTTTCTGCCAATAGTTGCTTATATCTCACCCGAACTTCCTCCTCCCTTAGTTTATACACTTTCACCTCCCACTTACTTGTTGTTGCCATTTTCCTCTTGTCCCATCTACCTCTTACTCTAACTGTAGCTAAAACTAAATAATGATCCGATATATCAGTTGCCCATCTATAAACGTGTACATCCTGGAGCCTACCCATCATCCTTTTATCCACCAATAAATAATCTAATAAACTACTTTCATTACGTGCTATATCATACCTTGTGTATTTATTTACCATCTTTTTCATAAAATATGTATTACTTATTACCAAACCTCTTCCTACACATAGCTCAATTAAAGGCTCCCCATCTTCATTTACCCCTGGCACCCCAAATTTACTTACTACTCCCTCCACAACATTTTTACCCACTTTAGCATTGAAATTCCCAACCACAAGAACTCTCACACTTGGTTCAAAACTCCCCACGCATTCACTCAACATTTCCCAAAATTTCTCTCTCTCCTCTACAGTGCTAGTCATGGCATTATG